CAGATATACACTAAAATCAGGCACATCAGAAGACGAGAGGTCAGGAGGGTCGTCATATTCAAAGAGTCTGGTACAGTTTTGGCACAGTAATGCAACACAACTAACTTCTTTAACCACCTGAAAAAACACCACAAACTGCAGTCTGATGGAGGCCAAGACAAACAGTGCAATGCTTCCATCAACACCTCCCATAACAGTGAGTCTCTGCAGAGCAGCAGCGTATCCACCAGCCTCACAAATGCACACCAACACAGCACCAATGCATCTGGCCAAAGATGTGTCCAGTAAACACGGTGCTTAAAAAGAAGGTTTCAGGAAGTCCACATGCTGGACAAAAGACATGTTAGCCCCTCCTGCAATCATTTTGCTAAATACAGGGGCAAATACAGAAGGGTCCCACAGCTGTCAAGAACTTTGTTTCCAGGTTTATTCACATCCATCCTGCAAAGATGCCTGAGAGCAGCAGAGTGTCAAAGTGAAAGCAGGGACTTGATTTTTGTGTGTTCGGTTCAGTGAGTTATCAGGAACTAGATGGAACAACAGCCTGGTGCTTGTTTCTGTTCCTCCATGTCTTACACATTAAATCGGTGCAGTTTACTGAAACTATGATATATCCTATGATAGTGATGCTATCACAGGTTGTAACATTGATTTGGTTGCATCTCATAACATAGTTTAAATACTTTTACCTGCACTGAAAACAGAAGTTATGAGGGCTCCAAATTACTGGACGAAAAATCGAATTAAAAGTGCAAATTTCCAGCTCACCCTGTTTCCTTTAAAAGGCCTCGAAATATTCTACAGTTACCAAACATGATGAACAGCAGCTGATATTTACAGATAACTCAGTAAATTGTGGAGAAAGTATGATTTCAGTTAGAGCTCCTGCATGTCTTAAACTGTCTCTCCAGCTGCACCGCAGGTTTGTGTTTGGTGCCTCGTAACGTGCAGTAACTGTGACAAGCTTGACTGCAGATTTAATCGGGTAAACTGTAATCTGTAACTGATTACTTTGGGAAGTTACTATTTTGAGGCGCCCTAATCGGGCGTGAGTCAGCCTGGCACGTCTGCAATCAGAGGGGACGCTCGCAACACCTCTGATCCATTAGCAAACGTCCTGCTTCATTTTCACGCCTGTCAGCGCGGCTGCTGCGCTCCTGAAAACAAAAGCGCTCAGACAAATCACCGGGGAGCGCAAACAAAGAGCCTCCGAATTCGTTTTGGTCTCCTCTGCTCAGCTCTTATGCTAACATGCTGCTTCCTGAGGATGAATCTGAAGGAGGAAAGATTTTTATGTAAAATGCATCATTTTAGTCTGGAGCACAAAGCTGCGACAGACAGCTCCTGGGACACAAAGGGACTGAAAAGCACTGATGGACTCACTGGTATCAGATATTTTTTAGTGTTATGTAAGAGATTCTTTAGGCAAAGTTTTCCATTCTGAATGTGAACAACTTTTATAAATATGTACTCAGGAGGGACTGAAAAGATTGCATTAAAGACTTTCATGATCAGTCCGCAGTGTGAAAATATAGACGATACAATGCTGTAATTTCTTTAGTGTCATCTGATATGAATTTACAGTTGTGAGAGTTCATTACAAAGTTAAAAACTTCTCAGCGCACACTGTGAGTTTACCTGTAAGATAATAATAGTTTATGTTTGCATGCAAAAAGCATCGAAAGATATACAATTATTTATATTCATTTTTTATGAATATAACAGCAGTGGGATTTCCAACATTAACGCACTGGGTTTGTACGACTCCATGAGGACTGTCACACAACTTTGCTTTTTAATTAATGTCTCGTGCCTTTTTAATGCCACAGTGCATGGGAGCGTGGGCAAGTGGTCACCGCTCAAGCCCAAAACTCGGCGACTCTGAGCTAAGACACCAGCGAGCCCAAGCTGTCAGAGAGTTTGGGAAAGCCATCCCTCTCCAGCAGGAAGTCTGGCGCCATGCAGCATGCAATATGTGTGTGTGTGTCTTGCTAGCCTGGTGCAAAGTCCACCTCAAATCTGCTTATGACCTTGTATCAACCCTGCCTGGAGACATACAAGACACACACACACACAGTCATGCCAGGAGCAGGATGTGATAGCAGGGGTGCCAGCCTGCCACGTCTCACGCTGCGTGTACTTGAAGAGGTGGATGCAGGAAGGACAGTTTCCTCTGTGAGTGCAGTTCCACAGGTGATGGAAGCTGTGGGATGATGTGTTTTCCAGTCTGTTTGGATCCACAGAACATGCGACACGAGGACACCTGTCATCTCCAACAGACCCTCTCCTTACACGCTCCTCGAGGTCTTCCAGTGCTGGAGATTTCTACACTCCATATGACAAATAAAAGGAAAATTCACGATGCAGTTTATAAACTGTCCACCAACGAGTGTTAGGAGCTGGGTTCTGGTTATGTGGTGTTTTTGTCTCTATGTGTTTTTTGGTGCCTCCCTTTTTGTGTAGGTAGGCGGGGCAGTGAGTCACTGAACCTGGCACACCTGTTACTCATCAGCTGCATTCTTCAGAAGTCTTCTTTAGGAGCTACCTGACAGAAGACTAGTGTCGGAGTATTGGCGTTTTTGGAGAGTCTGAAATTCTGCCCCTGCCTGCTGGAGCTGTTGGATTATTTCTGGTGACTGTACGGAGTTTTGTTTCCTCCCCAGGATTTTGCCTCGACTGGTTTGTTTTCTGTCTGGAGGTTTTGGCATTAAACTGTACCAAGTAAGCGCTCCAACTCTCTGTAAAGTTTACTTTAAGCTTTTCTCGGTTATCGGTCAAGACCCTCCTAATTCTCGTCCCTCTCCTTTTTTAGACCGAGTGCACTACCTGTGTGTGTTTCCGTCACCTGCACGTCCTGGCTCCGCGTCCCCATTCATACACTGTTGTACATACTTTGTCCTTGTAAATACCTCCCCCCTCACTGTAAATAAACTGTCTTCACCGCAACTCTGCCTCCGTGCGTTCGGCTCCCCGGGTCCATCTGCATTTGCCATAACAACGAGTGAAAACCATTCTTCATCCCCACCTCGGTGAGCTCGGAATATTTAACAAACAGATTTATTTACATATAAAAGAAAGAGAAACGCTTCTTAAGGTGGCTGGATTTTATCCTCAGAGTTGCACTTTTAGCTCTGCTCACAGTGTCTATCGTGAGTTTATTCATACACAGATCGTTTTGCAGAAATGGCTAAAAAGTAGAGAGACGGATAAATGAAAATCACAGAGCCTAAATTTAGTAAAGGAAGACACATTATAGAAGTGCAGTGTCTACACACTATACACACTTTGGAAGCACAAGCTTCCCTCACAACATTTTTAGAGGTAGGTCAAAGGTCAGCAAGTCCACGATGCAAATTATGAAATGCTTCCTGATATTGGAGTGCTAGCAGCCAAGGAAGCCTGCGAAGACAAATTTCTGCACAGGACAAAGTTAAAAATACACGGACGAAGTCAGCGTCACGAGCCAATCGCTGAACAATCCTTATTTAAGCAGCTAATGGGCCAAATCCACAAAACGCTGCTGACACAGTCCATTTCACCAAAGTCCTTCAAGTCACACAAAACACACAAACACATTGTCTGTAATATTATATGGAAGTGCTCCTCCTGCTCTCCAATGACCTGCTAGTTTTTATACTACAGTTGAAGTACTTAATTACCGTACGTGCAATGATGTGAAAAAGAAAAGTAGCCCCGTGAAAAACTGAGTGAACCCCAGGAATCAGTAGCCTGTAGCAGAGCTATTCTAGTTGTATATTTTCTAATTAGCTTTTATTTGATTTCATTTGAGCTTTTGTTTTTATTTCAGTGTAGTTTAAGATTAGTTTTTATTAGTTTCAATGTTAGTTAAAAAACCCAATAAAAAGACCAAAACTATTGTATGGAGAGCAGATGTCACAGCACATCTAACACAACAAGAACAGAACTCTTGAAAGCAGTTGTTTCAATACACACATCCACCAACACCTCATCAGGCGAGCTGTAATAAACACACACACCCTCACTGTTATGTTGAACTTCTTAATAAAAGCTAGCACTTTGCAGTAAGTATTACTGGTGCACATTAAATCGAAAACTTTGGTTTTTTTTACTGTATAAAAAAAAAAAATCGAATAAAATGTTTTGTTCCCCCGATTGCTACAAATTCAGAAAACCATTTTCAAAGCTAGAGCCAACACATTTGTTGGGGAACAGCGGTGAGAGCATCAGAGCAGGTGAGGAGGCGTAAATCACACGACTTCCACCGTCTGCAGCAACACTGACACGAGAACAGTTCGTGTGTATCTCTAAGTATCGTTTGTATTGCAGCGTTATTTGCTGTGGAAATGAGAAACGATTCACTGATCACTAAAGAAACCTTCATTACAAAACACTGCTTATTAGCTTTTATACCCTAAATAACACTGTTCCAGAGCAGGTCTACGCTCCGAGCTCATCACCTCAAATATGCAAACACGACACATAGAAATTGAGGAGTGATGAGTAAATATTCCCCAGAGTGGATGGTGGATAACATAATTCATAAATAAATCTAGTTTTTTAATTATGCAAAGCGATAATAAACATAAATGATAACATTATTCATCTTCAAAGTTTAACTGTTTGTCCTCCAAATGTTTATAACAACACTTACTATCAAATGTTATCAAAGCATGAGAAGCTCGGGCATATAAATGCACTTTCCATTGATGCAATAATGATAATAATAAAAACACAGACACTGTGCCAACAATCGCCTCGTCGCTATGGCAACGATGGGTGACTCACCATTGCAAACATATGACACTGCACTTATCGAAGCCTATAGATCCCACACAGACAGAGTGCGCGACTACATACAACACAAACGCACACGGACACTTGTGTCTCTGCGGACAGCTCCGTCTCCCCGTCACACGCACACACACACACACACACACGCACACACACACACACTGGAATGGCAGGAGCCGGTTTTCCAAGCGGACGCACAAATGTCGGACATGACTGTGGCTACTCACGGGTCACACGGGATGATGGATCCACTTGTTTTCTTCTCCTTCCTCAGTCTGTTTCTCTGACTCTACCGCTGGCGAGCAGCTAAACTAAACAGCGATCCAAGCCGGCAGAGGAAAATCACAACCTGTCAAACCACTTGAGATCCACTCACAACATTACTGTAGCAACACTACCTCTCTCCTCTCTCTCTTTCTCTGGCTGTTTATACGTCTGTGTTTGCACCTTATTCTTCCTCTCTCTCCTCCTCTGACCTGCTCCCCGTCTCCATCTTTCTCATCTCACCCCCCCTCTCCCTCTCTGCCACCCACTCACCCACAGGCCGGTCTGCAGCACTCAGCTCTTCTCCACTTTTGCAAGAGAGAGCACAGAAAGAGAAAAATATATAGAGCTAGGTGTGTACTCTAAAAACAGCGATATACAGCACACTTGATGATAAAGACATTTGACAGCAGAGCTTATATCCTGAGGCTGTTGCCCACAGAGAGCCTTGAAGTGCGGTGTGATATTTGTGTGCGTCTGACAGTCAGAAATAAGAAGGGCAGACAGAGAAAATGACTGACAGAGAGTGGGACAGATACAGAGTTGAAGCACTGTATGTCATCTCCTGCCTCTGGGCAAAGAAATACCACCATGTTTCACCTTGTTTTCACTTGGATAATTGTTACTGTTCCCAAAGTTCAAGTCTGGCAGTGGAGCAAGGAAAGGTCCTGCATGAAGTGCATGCTGTTTAAATCACGACTAAAGACCCACCTATTCAATCATGCTTCTAGTTAACATTTCACTTATGATTTTACATTATGCACTTTTATGCTCGTTTAACTGTTTGTTCTGTATCTGCTGCTTCTCCTCTCTGCTTTGGTCCTATTTCTATCATCTTCCTTTTATTCTCTATTTTACTTGTTAAGCACTTTGGTTTTAAATGTGCTTTATATATAAAGTTTATTATTATTATGAAAATTTAAAATCAGGTCAAAATCTGATCATTTGCAGGTGAGAAACAAGGTAAAGACCCTACAGTATCAGAGGGAAACCCAAACAATCAGCTGGCCCCTGTGAGGCAGCACTGAGTGGAAAAGGAAAAACTCCATTTAAACAGCAGAAGCAAAGTCAGGCAGGGGAAGAGAAAAGAAAAGGAGAGACACAACAGTGGTACATGTACCCACTGCCCACTGGGAGCAAAAAGAGGTGAGTGGAAAAGAACTGCTCAGTGCATCACAGGAACTCCTCCAGCAGCCCGAGTGTAAAGCAGCATAACTAAGGGAGGATCCAGGGTCACCTGGTCCAGCCCTAACTATATGCTTTAGCAAAAAGGAAAGTTTGAAGCCTGATCTTGAAAGTAGAGATAGTGTCTGTCTCCTGAATCCAAACTGGAAGCTGGTTCCACAGAAGAGGGGCCTGAAAACTGAAGGCTCTGCCTCCCATTCTACTTTTAAATACTCTAGGAACAACAAGTAGGCCTGCAGAGCGAGAGCGACGTGCTCTATGATAAAGGTAAAATGTGGTTTTTCAGATAAGATGGGGCCTGATTATCTCAGGTTAACTAAATGCTTGTTAGCAACAAAACGTTCCTATTGTTGCGTAAAGATTAATAAAGGAGACGTTTCTGCTCTGGCAGCATAACTGTGGTTCACCCTCACTGACGCTTTCTTCTTTAATCTGTTGTTACCTGCAGCACAATGACAACGTGCCAGCTGTCATTAACTACTCCACAACAACTGACAGTTTGATGAGCCACGTGCTCGGCTGTCTGCTTCACTGCAGCTTTATAATTAGATTGATGATGGGAGGATGTGTGCAGACGTCCCTTTGTACGTTTCTTTGGGTCAGGAAGGCTGCATTAGTAATGGCTGCACTCCCTGCACCTCTCAGCCTCCTGTCCCCACACCCAGTCACACATATAACAGATATACAGTGTGACGGACAGACATGGGAAGATGTGTCAAAGACCGAGACCAGAGGTGGCATTTTTATGCCATGCTGTTAGCTCACTACTGAAAGCTGTCAATCAAACCGTTGAAGAAAATGACAATACAGACCTGCAGGGGAGACGACAGATCAGACGGGACACCGTCGTACACGGCACATCAAGTGCCCCGACTAAATCTGTGCCCATTACAAATCCACTAAAGCACTAAAGCCACCATCTCTTCATGCAAGACTGAACTTACAGAGTAACTGTGTATTAAAACAACTAGGACAAATACTAATATTGTGGTATTCTTAAGAAAACCAACCCGGCCCCTTCCCAGCGTATCAAAGCCACAGACGTCTCACAGATACACTCGAGGTGTCCTTTGGCATCGCGGCTCTGACGCACCACGTTTTGGCTAAATGAGGCAAGTCTGTTACTGCCAGCTAGTCACATATGGACACTTGTAAAAGTCCATGTGGCATCACATGCACACACACTGAGTAAGTACACACTTCAGTGTGCAGGGTTAATTTTGTGAAGGGAATATTAAACCCAAGCCACAGCCTGAACTCTGACCGTGTCTCAATGATTTAACTGAACATCAAAGCGTGACGTTTTATTTTGAGGTGCTTCTAGCTCAACTTGGCTCTGTATCCACCGAGGACGAACCTCCGTTTGTGTTCGCACCTTCACCAAGTCTGCTTCCATGCATGAATATAACCCATGGATGCAGACAGATATCTGGATTAATGAAATACTTCCTTAAAAAGATCAACATGAAGTCTCCCAGTGTTTCTTACTTTTATATATATATTTGTTTACATGTGACAAGAACTGGGCCGGTTTGTGCATCGCTGCAGCGTTAAAGAACCCTCTGAAAAACTCTTGAATGTAGATCTGACTGATTTCAAAGGATAAGCAGTTCAAAGTTTGGCTGGTATTAAAATCTTGATGTAAATTTTTCCATTAGACTGATCCTTTGGGCCTGTGTAGTTTTAATAAATGACATGCTATTTCACTAAATCTCTTACATCTCCTTTGTCACTTTTCAGATCCAGTGAAAATTGAATGAGCGGCCTTTTTGTGGAAAGCTCTGTCTTCACTGCAGTCTTTGAATACGTTTACTTCACTGATAGGCTCATTTGGACTTTTTCATACAGCACGTCTAATATTTATTTCATTCTTATTTATATTTAATTTTATAAAGTGGTAACTGAGTTTGGTGTCATGTATGATTCTGTACGAAAGGAAAATTTACACTTTTACATGAAGGTAAAAAATGTTCCTTAATCTTTGAATTCCAGTGCTTTCAGTCAGTTTCAGACCCATTTCCACAGGTACACAGCATCCAGCACCATGTCATGGTAAATGGCCTGTATTTGTATAGCGCGTTACTAGTTCCTAAGGACCCCAAAGCTCTTTACACATCCAGTCATCCACACATTCACACACTGGTGATGGCAGCTAAACTGTAGTCACAGCCACCCTGGGGCGCACTGACAGAGGGCCCTCTGACCACCACCAGTAGGCAACGGGTGAAGTGTCTTGCCCAAGGACACAACGACCAAGGCTGTCCAAGCCGGGGCTCGAACTGGCAACCTTCCGATTACAAGGCGAACGCCCAACTCTTGAGCCACGATTACAGCGTCCTTAGAATAATTTAGGGAAAGAACAGGTTAATCTGAAGAGCAGAGTCCTGTAATAAGACGCCACAACTGTTTGATGATCAGTTGTAAATGATGTTATTGCAAAGTGGAAGCATTTAAGAACCACAGCAACTGATCCACAAAGCACACTACAGCTGTGCTCAGAATCACTCTAATTATACTGATTCTATGTCATCACTTGTAGTGAAGAGTCCTCATCACTGTGGGATTGTTATAGGAGTAAAGGACTACCTGTTGACTGCAGGTCCCAAAGGTACGAGAAGCTCGGCTCACATCACACAGCATGTTTGCTCTGATAAAGTAAAGTGGGACAGATTCTAAGTGTTTAAGGTTTGGTGCTGTCCTGTGAACCAAAGCTCTGAAATATACAGTTTCCTTAAGCACTGAATATGTGAATAAGCCATGTTTTAGTTGCAAATGCTTATTAAATAAAATAATACACATTTTTTCAAATAATTCATGTTTTTTGTTTTTATTTTCTCCAGCTATTATTAATCTGTGGGACAGAAGTTATATTGTGGAATATACTGCTAGTACTTCTTGACCTTGCTCTCTGTCATTTATGGGAAATGCCAGTGATTGTTGATGCCAACAATTTATAACAATTTGCTTTGTGGGGACCAGAAATTTGAAGTTTACTATACTTATGGGGACCAAAATCCTCGTCCCCACAAGTTTGAAGGAATTTTTGAGACTTAAAATGTGGTTTTAGTGTCAGAGTTACAGTTGGGTTATGGTTGTGGTTAGGGTAAGGTTAAGGGTAAGGGTTAGGCTTAGGCTTAGGGTTAGGGTTAGGCATTCATTTTTGCTGGGTTCGCCTTTATTAGTCCCACACGTAGGAAATTTGTTTTGTTACAGCAGAAAGTGGACGTGCAAAGTTACATCGCAGAAATTAGAAAAACCCTGGAATAGGATAAGATACTGTACACAACTGTACACAATAGAATAGAATAAAATACTATATACAGTAAAAATAAAAATAGAATACAAATACTATGTACAACTGAGTAAAATACAACATTGTCAGAAAAAGAGCAGCTTAGTGTCACTGCTGCTGCACATGTGTGGATGTGTTTTATGTTCCTGCAAGATATGAATACATGTGTGTATACCAACTGCTATTCTCAATAAAAGCCAACACACACATTTAAATAACAATGTAAATATGAACTAATAACCTGAGCTGACATTAAAGGAGACCTATTACACTTGATCATACATGCACTCTTCTCATATCACGTATGTTTAACATGACCAAAGCCTCCAAAAATGAGGTCAGTAGCAGTGCAGGTACAGGCTGAACGCTGCTCTAAGCACTCGAGTGCAGACAGCTTTTTCACCACTTGGCTCTGCTTTATGTCAATGGGAGCAGATACACCCAGTAAGATCATCGTCAGCATACAGAAGCCCCACGAGGGGCAGCCAATCAGAAGAAGGCTGGCTTATAAATGAGGTGTTCTTCGAAGGAAAGAAGCTAAAAGTTATTTTCAGACATGAACGATGCCAGAGGCTGTAAAAAAGCCCAGTATAAGACAAATACAGCACATTTTGAACAGTAAGTGAACAAAGCTACTCCAGGAGAGTCCAAAGATAAAAATATTGAGATGAAATGTAAAAACGCTAACACCTTAGAGTCATCATTTAAGACCTTAAGATCTTAGCTTTGCAGTGTAACCAAACACCAATATGGACTCCTCTGGTGCTCCCAGCTGCCAGTATAGGCTTAAATATTCACTCAGTGTCTACCCAGTAACAATCATCACAGCCAAACACACACACACAGAAAGCCACACAGAAACAGAGAGTTTGAAGTTACCATCATTTTGTGTCACACTACAAAGCTTTATCCTTAAACAGCTTTTTCCACTACACCAATTATCTCCCAGCATCACAGCGAAGGCAGTCCCCATTAAAGCACAGAATAAGCAATCAACAAAGAGCATCTTTCATTTCTTTTAATCATCAGTATCTGAGTGTGGGTTTAAGGCGTAGTGTATTTCCCCCCTTTGAACAGCACATGGCAAAGAGCATAGAAAACTATCTATTTTCTTTTGATTGATTTTCACTCATGTTTTTTAATGGGAGCTGTGAAGCGCTGAAGGATCTCAATTCTTTTCTTGTTTCAGTCATTCCTCCTCTGCAGTCTTACAGCCACCAATTAAACTTTTGGTCTTTCTTTCTCTTTGTGTTCGGTTTCTCCGGTTTCTCATTCTGTGACGATATTGTTTAAAGGCTTCGACAGAAGAGATTCAGTTAGTCTTTCTCCACGACTCTCTTAAATTATTTTTCCTCTAAGTTAAATCACTGCCTTCATGCGCTGCATTTACCTCAGGATATTTGTTTCTCTACGCCACCTATGCCTTTCATAATCTGATGAAATTATTTTATAGGATTTATTTTTTCTAAAAATCTCTCAAGATACACGAAGGAAACTCAATTTTTACAAAGCCTCAGACTTTATGCAGTAACTATGAGCAGTATAGAAACTACTTTCAGCCACTCTTGGCAATTAAATTTTCCTCCTACAAAGGTAGGCCTGTAGGTTTTTATTATCTGGATGCGTGCTCATGAGCTATAATGTGAAAGAACCAGCACATCAACAAAAACATTTTACAAATGGAGGAATAAATACACAGCTAACTTCATCTTTTTGACCGCCTGGATTGACTACAAGAAAGACTCAGCGCTCTACACATGGACACTGGAGTG